ATAATTTTATTTAAGGAAAGAGCTAAATTAATTCAATCTATGAAAACAGAATATTTTCTTTCAAAAATTATGTTTGCACTAACATCTTTGATGACTAAACTACTTTGGAGTAGTATAATTTTTCCCCAAATTGTCCCTTTGGTGTAGATGGTATGAGTTTGATGACTCAAGAGTGTCCAGTGTCACAAGTAGAAAACTGGACCCCAGAAAGGCATACCTTCTTTGGTATTCCCGCTTGCCACGAGTTGTTCCTGATGGGAAATCTAGTCTTCCCACCTGCTCACCTATAAATGTGTCTGCAGCTCCACGTCCTTCTCATCTTGCCACTCCTCATAAATTACAGACAACCGTAACATTATTTGCTCTAATTTTTTGTCTTTTTTATTTTGTTACATTCTTTAACAAATTACTTGTGTACTGATATATTTCATTTATTTTCACAGCAAGCTGATTTAGAACCAGCTCCCTCCCCTAAAAAAGCAAAGGTATAAAATATACTCATGCAAAAACTGTGTCCCTTCTCCTACTGAATTTCAAATTAATTGTACCTAACAACAAAATCCTCTGTTTTGAAGGTCTCATCTCAGTGGTTGCCTGACATCCATGAGGACTTAGGCTGCATGCCTCTGGTACATATACTTCCCTTCATGTGGTGCTGGGAAATTTCTATCTTTTTAAGTCTGTACTCTCTGTTACACTTATTTTTTGTTTCCTGCTGTTATAGAATACATCCTTTTCAAGTAGTGACTCCAGAGAAAAAAGTCCCAAGAAGAGGCCGGGGAGAAGCAAGTTCACTGTATCTCCACTTATTGTTAAACGTACTAAAAGAAATAAGGTAAATGTGAATTCCTATAAATAACAAATAATGTAGAATTGTTCCTGGAAAATTAATTCCTTCATGTACTTACAGACAACATCAAATCAGTCCTCCCATGATTATAATGTGAGGACTCAAATAAGCAACATCAATGGCAACCCAAATAATGAGGCTAGGTCTGGGCAGCAGACCTTGCCCTCCGTTCCTCAAGAGCAAGTATGTAAGGAATGTTCATGATGTTTGTGAAGCAGGAAGGACCTACTTTGTAAAAGCAGAAGTGAGAGCATCAATGGAAGCTGTTAAACATGATGTGCAAATTGCAATATCTGTGAGGTCAGGCAATGTACAGGGTGGTACTTGTGACTGCATACAGCAATCACTTGGTCGCTGTGTGCATGTGTGTGCTACCTTGTTGTTCATTTGGAGTCATATTCGACTCAATGGTTATGGAGGTAAGCAATTCAAATGTGTGCTCTATTGTTGTGTATCATTAGTTTATCTTTGGTATATCATGTACCAATATACTATATTTACATAGTAATACAGTTACACGATTTTCCTTGTACTCTTGTTGTGTAGGGTTGTTGTTCTACTCTAGTCCTTGGTTCATGATTATACAGCACTAGCGGCTGGGCAAAGTCTTCATGCCCTTGTATTTCTTTTCAGATCAACCACACTAATTAATGAACCTATGTGTATTTTTCCCCAAAGTGTTGATTTGATTCCTACCTCATTGGAAAGATCCACTGTCTTCTATGGTTTTCTTTTCAAGAGTCATATGCACACTTGCCAACATTTAGAAGCCATTTACTCCCATTTCATTTGCTGTATTCCTTTGGAATTATTTTGCCCTGCTTCAGATATTGACCAGGCCACTACATCTCCTTTCATTGTCATTTCATCAAATTTATTTTCATGAGTCCCCTCTTTTTCATTCCATCCCTACTTACCACTTGTAATAATTCTCCCTTTTTTTTTTTTTGTGTCTGTTGTGTTGTGCCAACTAACATATATTTTTTTCTTATTTCTGAACAGTGTTGTTTGCATGTCAGCTGGTTGTAGTTAGTTTTAATAACCATTTACAGCTATGTTCAATCTGGAGATTTTGAGGTAAGTTCTGCTTTATTGCATGTCAATGTGAGTCTGCATGTATGTTTTAATTGTTCAAATGCTTTTTTAACATCTCTTACGCTGCTGTAAATTGTACCTATCCTGTGGTAGTGTGCTTGATGGTCTTGTGATGTTGAATAACTTAATAAATAATTACTTCATATTATTGCAATTGAGCCTTATATCTATCATTTATTCACAATTCATTTTCATTTCTTATTGCCCTTATTGGTTTTACATACAAACTTTGACAAGAAATTTTCCAACTGTGCTTTACATCCATCCATCATTCACATCTGCTTTTATTTTCCTTTCTTACTGCCTTGGAAATACATATCCAAACTTGGCAAAGTACAATACACAATAACTACAGATTTTCCAACTGAGCCTCACATGTATTCTTTCTTCAACATTTTTTATTTCTATTCTTACTGCCTTGGAAAGTTTTATACCCAAAATTGGCTAAATACCCAGCTACATACACATAGTCAGAAATAGTTGGAAGCAACTTCAAGGGGATAATACCTTGCAAGAGACGGTTCACTTTAATTAAACGAACTGCATGCTCCACATAGATTCTGGCACTGGCAATGGCTCTTGTCAAGATTTCTTCTTCGGGTGTGAACTTGGGACGTCCATCCAGGGAGGGTGGCTTCAAGACATCCACACCTATTCGAAGTAAGTCATTGTTTATAGCAAAACCACGATCACTCATGATAACATCACCAGGTTCCAAAAAATCCATGAAGCCGCTCTCTTTTAAGGCTTGTTTTTCTGACATACTACCCTCATAACCAGGGCTGACAAACAAAATGCCTCCATGACAGGATATGCCCACAAGAAACCGTATCGTATTGTGGGCTTTATAATCTGAGTATGTATTACCCTGTTGCTGGAAATTACTGGGTGTTTGAATGAAAATTTCAAATCCATCTATGATAGCTCTCAAATTTGGAAAGGGCTTGAAAGGCTTCGGCTTCTTCTTTTGATCTTGAGCAGAGATAAACATGTCCTTTTCTAGACCTTGAAAAGTTAGGCACAGGTATCGGAGCATGGCATACACAACCTGGCAACAGGTTGTGAGACCAACACCAAAAATGTAGGCAAGGTCTCGAAGGGGCATTCCTCTTCTAAGTCTCCAAAGAAACATCAACAATTTATCCTTTGACGAGAGCTTCCCCTCGACACTGAATCTCTTCGGTGTTCTTCCTGCATAGCCTTTCACTTTCAGTCTTCTTATTTCTTGATCACCTCCCAGCAAATTGTAGAGCACTTTAAAGTTATAAATGGAGAGACCAGTGAAATGCTTGAATTTCTTTGGGTCTTTACAACAGAATTCATAACTGACAACACTTCTTAGTCGCACATATTTGATTTTCCTGCTCCGTTGACTAGGGGTTCTGGGACTCGCTCCACAGTTGGATTTGGCTGGACTCATCTGAAAACATATGACAAAATTAGAAATCACTTCAGATAAACACATTTTCAACAACAATGTCTTTTTCATAATTGATTTTAGTTCATTTTGTTTGCTTGCTCAGATAATAAATAACACTGCTTTTGAAATTGATTACAGCCTTGACCTGCACATCTATCCCACAGCAATGGGGTAAAGGAGCTTTAAAAAGGAATCCTGGAGCTGTGAGGGATACACAATACGAGTCCTTCAAAATAGATATAAAACGAAGAGCTTACTTTGACCCCAGGCCAATGGACAGGCAACGGCAGTTAACATTACAGGAAATTAATGATTTTGTGGAAGAACTGAACAATGTCAACCTGGTGGAAACACTATTTCAGAAGCACCTCTCCATCAAGTATCAAGATGAAATCTACGCAGCAGATTTTCTAGAAAATGTAGCCTCATTGTGTGAGTTTTTCCGTCAAAATCTTCAAATAATGCCCTCTAAGGCCAAAATCATGCTCCGAAAAAACAAGGACCATCGAGTGTATCAATTTCACGAGACACAAGGCCAGACAAACAGTGACATGTGGCTTCATCTTAGAGGTCTTCATGTTACTGGAACATCAGCTCATTTTGCCTTGCAGAAGCACTCCAAAACAGCAGAAATGAACTTTCTTCGAAAACATCTATGGGGCTTGGATCCCATAGATCCTGAGGCCATCCCAGCTATGAATTGGGGGATTCAAAATGAAAGCAAAGCTTTGAAATCATACAAAATAGAAAGGCTTAAATTTGACCCAACAATAAAAGTGAAGACCAACATTGGCTTACTGAAAAGCACAGACTTCCCTGAGGGTGCAGCCAGTGTTGATGGAATTTGTCGATCTAAAATCCACCCATCAAGAATTGTAGAAGCTAAGTGCCCATACATGTTAAGACATGCCAAACCACAAGACTTCAGTGAAGTCTTATCTAAAGAGCAGCTTTCAAACTTTTGCCTCAAATGGGATAACATAAATGGCAAGATAGTTCTTAAAAAAAAAATCCATATTACACACAAGTACAACATTATTTAGGAATTACTGGACTCCAAGTGTGTGATTTTGTGATATGGACCCCGAAAGACACTTTAATTTTAGAAGTACCCTTTGATAAGGACAAGTGGGATGAGTTAAAAGCCAAAGAAATAGCTTTACACAGGGAGCTGATTGTACCCGAATATTTTTTCATGAGGACACCTCGTAAATTATTTCCACATCACATCAAGCAATAACTTTTAAGATGTAATTGTTTTAATACAACTTCAAATTGTTTGAAAGATATAATTTTAATACTGTTATGTAGTTTTAGTTTTAGATACCTACTGACATGTAGGTATTTCCTGTAAATCTATGTTTTGTTTTAATTATGGATACTTAAAGAAATTATTATCAATGCTACTTGGTAAATGTAAGATTGACACTTTGGAACCTATTCAGGTTATTGTACTGTGTAAATCTCTTTTAAATATAAGACTATATGGCAGGACTATACATATTAATACTTCTTTTAAGCATAGAGATGTTACCTTCTCTGAAGCACTTGAGGATTGATGTGGAGCCAGTGGTACACCATAATCCAGCCGCTTCGGTTGTAACCTCCGTCCTGATGTAACAGGTGGAGCAGGCTGAACCTAGGAAGCAGAATTTTTACAATGCAATTTTTTAAATTGTTATATAAATTTGTTCACAATTTTCTTGATCCTTACAATTGGAGTAACATTCCATGCAGTAGTGGTGGAACGAGCTGACCCTATAGGAGTAGAACACTTCATTTTCTTTGGAGTTCTCACTTCCCTAAATTTTAGTGGCCCTTCACACACACTCTGATACACTAAAACTTGACAACTGTTTTGAGCATCAACATTTTGGACCTTGTGCCATGATACACCCCTTTTCTGTTAAAAAATAAATTAATTAACTCTTGTCAGTAAATGAAACAGAACTGCTGATAATCATCTATTGAGAAAATACTTACCCTTTTGTCTTGTAGTTGAACAAAAGTGCCAGAATAGGTTTTTACATTGGCTGTTGTGCCATTGATAATAGACCCAATAACTTCATACTTCTTGCCAGGACCTAAGTTAACAGTTGAAGGCACAACATAGTGTTCAAGCTCCGGTCTGAAACCCAATGCAAATTTATATGTTAAAACAAAAAGAAATATTTGCATGACTTTCAAGTTAAATGTAAACCTTTACCTAATTGGAGAAATCAGAAAAATATCAGGCAACTGTAAGACCTTTTTTAGAATTTGCTTTTCAGAACCACAGGTTTCACACAACACATTCTTCGAGCTGTACAGTTCGTCAATGGCCTGCTGCAGATTTTCATTTGCATTAATAAAAACCTTCGCACCAATGGACAATTCCTCTGTGGGTTCCTGAATGCCATGGCATTGGCACAAATCTGAGGAAGAAACAATAGGAACATAAACAAACAAATCAAGGAAATGTATAGTAATAAATTCTACAAACAGTATAAGCACACTCACTTTGGATTTCAATAACGCCACCAAAAGAGTCAAAAATAGGAGAGAGTTCATAGCTGCACACAGGAAATGGACATTTACAAAACAAAAAGTGTTAACGTAAGCAAAATAATAACTTGGAAAAATGTTACCTAGGTTCAATTCTTTGAAATGCATAATGCATTTCAGAGACAATGCTGCTCATAACATAAAATACATCTGATTCAGCAGTGCACCCTAAAAGTTTACATAATTCTGCAACCAAAGAAAATTGACATTTGATTATATGTATTAACATGTAGAGGTCAAAATTCAGCAATAAACTCACCAGAATTAAGATTGCCACAATACATGTTTCGGTTCACATGTTCCCATATTTTGAGAACAAGGCATAAAACACAGTTGTCAGAGGCAATGCACTTCAACTTGTGGTCTGAACTCACCATATAGCTTATAAAACTAGGTGAGTGGAACAACACCTGTAAAATAAAAAGCTTTACTT